TTTCTACATTGATATACTTTGAAGGTTAACAAGGTAATTGATATCCGTTAAATGTGCTTGTCCTTTGATTGAATGCCTTTGTATTTTATTTTGTTCCTTCTGAGTGCTGCTGAATGTGACTGGGGCCGAGAGCTTGTCAAGCCGTCTATCGCGGCTTTTATTCTCGGCCCCATCATTACCTGTAATGGGAAATGAAAATAAAGCTTATTATTATATTATATTATTAAGTAGAAGCTGCCGCTTCCCAGGAACCAGGGGCCCTATGTTGAGCTTTTTGGACTCCCACGGCGACTATAGGGAGAAGGAAGTGACCTTAACAAAACAGCAAACGCAGATTGGATGTTGATTGGTGAAAGTCGCTGATGACAGATTTCCGCAGAAGAAAACAAAGAAAAAGTAAGCTTTGTTCTCTTCTGCGGAAATTTGTCATCAGCGACACTCACCAATCAACATCCAATCTCCGTTTCCTGCGTTGTTGACGCCACTTCCTTCTCCCGAGTCGCCGTGGGAGTTCAAAAAGGTCAACATAGGGCCCCTGGGCTCAGATTGAGGCACCGCCGTCGCCCGGTGTTTTGTCCTCTCAACGTCGTCGTTGTTGTGTTCTTTATTTATACCCGTATATTTGTATAGATAAAATAAGATAGATAAAAATACTCACAACCGAATGGCCAGCGGCGCGCCGTTCTAGTTATTTCTAGCTATACACGCCTGAAAGATTTTTGTTCAGTTTGCATTTGTAGCCGAGCTAAAACATTACGTGTACAGGCAAATTCAAAGGAAAATATATACAATGCAAGTGTTTCTGACCCTACATAACAATTGCTTATATTTGAAATCCAGGGCACAAATTTTGGTTGTAAACACCTAATTATTATATAGTCATATTATAACCGCCCCATTCTTAGTCAATATGCTGTCGAAAACGCATCGTACAAATCTTTTCTTTTGATAAGCATATTTAAAGGTACCCTGGCCGCAAGCTTCTTGGGGCACGGCGGAGTACTAACTTTACAGGGGTAAAAAGCGGGCCGAATTTGAAAGTCTCCAGGAATAAAAAGGATTAATTAAAATATTGAAATTTTAACTGCGGTGTGTGCTATGAGTCGGCAGCTTTTATATTGCTCGGGAACTTTACGATTCTTCACTTTAGTGAAAAGAAATTTAAAATTTTGTCAAAGTGGCCCTTAGAACTCAATGAAACAATATTATATCGGGCACAGGAATAAAAAGAATACAATTTCGAGGTTTAAGAGGTATTAAATAAGAGTGTATGAGTGCCCTCTATAGATATCCCGGAAAACTTAAGGATTTCTGCAGCAGTTTGGCTGAAATTATCATTTTACTGCGTTTTTCTGAGAATAGCCAAGAGAGGGCGCAAGGAGACCGTGTCCAGGAATGGTGGGGATGTCGCGGCCCGCGGCTTTGGCCTTTAGTCCATCGTGGGATGAGACCAAGTATAAAAGTTTGGATAAGAGGCATTAAAACATCTGCTATTAGCTGTATATAATCAGGCTAGATCAATTGTGCATGAAAAGAATGAGCATTTTATTAAAAGGCTTAAAGAACGTCTTGGCATTGCCAATTCGATGTTCAGAGTCGCTGTTTATCTTCAAAATTTGTTTCAAACTGGTTCACGTGTTCTACAAAGCCACACAATTAGTCGAGTGCACAATTTTTCATCGATTCCTTAAAGAGTCTCTCAACATGATTGGTCTGAATGTAGTGTACTTTAAGGTGACCTCGTGCTTCACTTGGGGCACAATAACTCCCGTGATATTCAGCTCACATTCTTACTGTGGAAACCTCGGCACACAGTGGCCGGTGCCCTCACCGATGACATTAACTTTGTGTGTGTTGCAAGTACAGATCACTGACCGTTGCAACAATGCCGAGCAGGTCCTCTTCCTTCATTGTAGCATTGTCGCACTATAGAGTTTGCCGGAAATGAGCTAAGAAGGAAATGCTAATGGAAGAAAGCCACCGCTGAAAATAAGTCTTCCATGTTGCGGTTATACCGTCACATTCAGAGCTTTGGTTGTGGCGTGGCGCTTACACCATTGTTGATAACAATTTCGCCGTTGGTCTCAGTTCGGCCCAGGAGATGAGTTGGCAAAATCACGCTTCAAATTTGTTCGCGTTCGTCTCCTCGTTTTGTGTATGTTCTTTTTTTTTAATCTACGGAAGACACTCAGGCAGCCTGCAGCAAAGAATGTCATCTTCTGCATAAGCGACTGTTACTCTTTGTCCCTGAGCCCGGAACTCAACTCGCACATGACTGCCAGGCTTGCTGACATACACTTTTGTCGGTGAATACTTCAACAGTTTTAGTGCCGGCGCTCACTCAAGTTTGACGTTCGACATATATCGTGCTGATCTCTGTTTAGTGTTTCCTGGGCGTCTGATATCCTTTCGTCATTACTGGAGGATGATCTCCTTTTCCATCAGAGAAGAGTGGAGGCTCCGTCTCAGCTTCTCGAAGCCTAAATTACATCAGCAAACAATACAAATCTTTGCAGGCTTAGAAATTGGCGGCAGTTCTGCCCTTTTTCTCAAATCAGTGGCGCTCTTCTTCAGTGTTGTGATCTCTTCACAAGAAAAACTTGTGGTTGTAAATTACAACAGTGTGATGCACGTTAAATGCCCCAACCGAGTAGTCGTACTACACTGGCAAAATTTCTCATCTACGGCGTGTAACCATGTTGCCAAAAACTGGCAGACTAAACTCTCGCTTCTAAACATCAAATGACAAGATTTATTACTGAATTTTTTTTCCGAGGGAAAATGTACTGACAGGTACTCACTGCCGCCTGAATGATAGCTATAGGTTGCCCTCTTCTGTCATTTACCACGCTGAAGCGTCACTGACCGAGTGTTTATAGCTTTGTTCCCACGTTCTAGAGTACATTTTGTTTTCGCAGATGGAACTAAAATTCCCACCTTTAGCACAGGCACAGGAGTTAGCAGCCTCATATTCCTTTTTAATCTCGCGTTACTGCCTGCGCATCCAAGAATTACCGTTTAAAACCTGCTTTACCCTTAGGAGAACCACTAGATTATCGTCTCAGGCTGAGCAAAATATTTCCCTTCACATCGCGTTTACATTTCTTAGTTCATTAGATTAGTGTCACTTGTATTAGAAATACTTTGATTCATGTTGCCTAAAATAACAAGCTTCGACAAGCTTAACAATGCTGACATTTGTGACAACTTATTTACTAGGACAACCTTGCTCATCACATTTGCGGCAGCGTGGTGCCCTTAAGCACACACGGAAATGCCGTTTTTTTTTTTTTTTTTTAAATATATATCTTTTGTGAAGACACTTTACGAAAAGCTTTCGGGCGGTTCGGATATCGATTTTATACCAATCGCCTGCAATGGGAAATTCGCATGGTGATAGATATACTTGGCCTTATTTTAATAAACTCTTCACATGGCCAGTCGAACTTATACTTAATACGTATATTCCTTTGCAATCAGCCAGCATCAGCCGCGCCCTTGGGCGCTAGCTGTCCCGAAGTTTTATCTTTCCTGGTGCAACCCTTCCCATTAGGGAGACAACAAGTCACGTGCGCGCCCCGGTCGGCCTCCTGTTGAATCCACCGATATCGGCGGGAGCGGATTTTGTAGCGATCCTTTGCAGATTTGCAGGCTGCGTCACCGAAACCGACGTCTTTTAAGGTAACCCGTTAATTCGGGTTGATCCAGATTGCTCGTGGGAAACATGCGTTGCCGGAAAGTCAACCTAAGATCACACAAAAACGGGCCGCCGAATTTGCGAGATGACTTAGTCTGTGAAGTGATTTCGAAAATTCGTGTGGTGCAATCAGCCCCCGATCCACGATGACGACTCCCCGGGAATGTTTGGTTGCATTTAGAAGGCGCAAGGAGACATCGAGGCCTCTCAAGCATCTGCCACAAAGCGAAGGAATTGAGTCGGGAAAGAATTTCCACTTAATTTAGCGGGAAATTTAGCGAAAATTTCCCGCTAAATGGAAGGGGAGCAGGAGAGGAGGAGGGGAGGGTACGGAGGGGGTGGAGGAGCATACCCTTTCCTCCGTACACTCCCCTCCTCCTTCTCAAGAGCTGCGCTCTAATTTGGCATTACAAAGAACTGTGAATATGTCTCGCTTTTTTTAATAAGGAAATTGGCCCCGCGTCGTTACGATTTATGAATTTCTAGGATGCTTAGACCTCGCAGAGTGAGTTTTCGCCATATTTAGGCGATTTCAGAAACATCCTCAGTGCACATTGAACATTATAACTACTTTTTATTAAATATATTTTTGAAAGAAGTAATATAATCACACATGAAACTCATTACAGTACAAACATTTAATGGTTCTATCTGGAGTATAACATGCTGAAGTCAAACTTAAGATGTATGTGCTTTTTCGTTGACTGGAGTGCTGAAAAACTGCAAAGCCCTTGGTGAAATGGTGCGCAGAAAAAGAAAGTGTGAGAAAAAAACTTGCTTATTAACAAAGTGACACTTGATTACTATACGATATCTTTGTTTCAAAATAAGCATAACGTTCTTTTTTTTTTGTTTCTTAACTTGGTATAACTTTGATATTCGTACCCAAACTGCAAATGTGCCAGTGGGCCTTCGATTTACATGCGCCTCCTCCACCAGCTGCACTCGGCGCGCGCTGCCGTATTCAATTTAGAGGTGCAGCCTGTCTCAAAACACAAACGAAAGTACGTTGCTCTGTTATTTAGTCAACTCGGCTGCACTTTTTTTTGCACAGGTGAATGCTTGTGCAGGTAAATCAAACCAGCCCAGTGTCTGCTAACACTCCAGAAGGGCCGACTTGTCTACGAGTTGTTGCTCTCATCAACGAGGTCCAGATTGATCCGATTTCAGCCCATTTCGCTTTCTGGCGGGGAATAATTAAACATTTATTTCTGTTTGATCGCGCGTTGTGGTAGGGAGGGGTGCGTAGCAGCTGTGAACGGAACTACGCCGCACAGAGTAACGCATGTCACCCTAAACCGACTTAAGACTTACGGGCCGCTAGAATAAAAGAGAATGCACCTGGGTTCCCAGCAATCTCAATGTTTTTGGTGCGGTATACTTTTAATTGAAACCCGGCATTAGTCACTGCTCCTTTAATCAGATCCTCGCTGAGGTCCTCCGCATTAACGCCGATATTTTTCGGAAAGAAACTCTTCACACTACTCATACCGCCCAGGAGGAACAAGCCGCCGGGTTTGACAAGTGATCCGACGTTGTTAACCACACTTCGGAAGGATTCGTGGTCCGCCGTGGCACTTTCCAGGCAGTTGCAGGAAAGAACGACGTCGAAGGTTTCTTTGTGTTCTTCGGGGAGCACTCCAGGTTCCAGGACATTGCAGGGAACCACCTTCCGGATGGAGGAACGCGTGCGCTCCATTATTTCGGACGCCCCCTTCTTGACGTCGCTGTAAAGCAGAACAAGGAAGATGCCATTAACCTGTATTTTGCTGCGATGCCTGACATGATGCTTGAGGACATATTGAAAATCTCTGGGCTCAAGATAATTTTTTTAATAATAATAATACTGCGTTTTTCTTTAGACACCTTGAGGCCAGTAATCCTCAATCGGCTTCTGATGGTCTGTATATGAAAAATTTCGCGAGTAATGTACCACGGCTAGCCTGAGGCCTTCCCCGTGCATCACGCAGTTATGATAACCTACCACACGCCGGTGCGATGCTCATTTATATCGAAACGGGAAGGAGAGAAAATTGAAGGGGATTTTTTAAAGGTTTGTTGAGCATGAATATTGTCACTAGACGTCTTCGAGAGTTTCCTAGAAGTCTTGCTTGGCACATATGGCCGCTTCATTTAGGGCAAAATACGATTATACTGCAGGGGCGAACATATTTAACTATATAGCTTGGAAACTACCGTAAAGTGATTCAAACTCAGCCTGCACCGTCGTCATAATTAACATAAATTAAAATTTTGTTCGAAGAAATTCAACTGATACATAATTATGGCTTAGTAAGGAATATTATTGGGAATTTAACAGCCAGTGTATTCTCGGTGGCGAAGACAACTATTGAGCTGATGGTTGCATACTTCTTCTGATGAGTTAGCTGCACGGAAGTCCTTTGCATTACGCTCACGGAAGAAATGCTTGTACGTAGAAAAATATTTTACATGGTACATTAAAGACAATCTTAGATCCCAGGTCAAAGATTCTCCCAATGTGAAAACAAATTACTTAATGAGAAAACCATTAAAAGGAATACAAAAGGTTTATACTCAAAATTTCTACACACTGTTCAGACACAACCGATGGTATCGTCAATACATGAGACACGCGACCGCTTTTACATTCACCCCGCATGTTCACCGCAACAACGAAGAGTCGAGTAATACAATTGTTGGACAGAAAAGAAATATAGCTGTTTTTCTCAGGGTGGTGCCGCCAATGTTTGTCCCAACTGCGCACCGGAGTTAGCCAATATCTGAAGCGTGCTCCAGATATTGTTAGCGTTGGAAGCCATCTGTCACTTCACAAGTTGGACGCAACTCGATTATTCGTCGATGGATGTAGATTTACCAAGTGCTAGCGATCAAGTCACCGAGTGATCACGTTTTATTTGTGAGCCACAATCAACCCTCTGGACAAACCTGTTCGGTTAAATATTAAGTTAATAAGGAATTTTACGATGAGAAAAATATGATTTACCTTAATACTTCGCGTTAATCTGATTGACACAGAATGCTTAATGTGTTCCGAGTCAAGCTGTTTGAGTTTGTTTGAAACTGCTTCACAAGTTTTGCAAGTTTAATTTTTAGGACCTTTTTGTTAGGGATATCGACAGAAAGATGCGGCGCTTTTTTCTTTAGTCGGCTTTTTCCGAAGTATTATGGTGAGATAAATGTTTTGCGACTGACCAATCACGAGCCACCCCAGCTGCTCTTAAAGACAGCCAAGGCGTTTCGCGCTATGCTACCTAAGTGGCGTGATTTTTTACGCCATCCGTTACTATGGGCCACGTTGTCACGTTATTTGTGCAACCGTGACCACATGACGTCATGTGATAATGCAAAATACCGTTACGTGATCAGTTTAAATGACACTATGGTATGCGACATAATGAATTCATGTCACGAGGCGTCACGTAAATATAGTCTATGCGATATCATAACCTCTATTGAATATTTGCTCTCGTAGCCTCTGGTATACTTACGTGATAACGTGACCCCACAAAACACCTGCCTACGCTGGAACAACATATCGTCTTGCGAAAACAAACAGCTGTGACCACACTCATCCTATTCGCTCAATCGGTCGGGTGAAGAGTTTCAGACAACAGAGCCTCAGGTTCGTAGTGCGATTCCTGGAGAGGCACAAACTGTTTTTCTAAAGAAGCCCGGTGGAACCACAATGGGAGACCGTAGTTTTGTCAGGTTTTATATCGTTAGACATGGAAAATAACCCTAGAACGTTTTCCCTAAAATTAAATGCTCATCAAGAGTTTTCTTCTTTAGACTTCACGGCGGACGTAATTCTGGCTCCTTAGCCCAAGTGCTCGTTCTTGTGTTCCATTATTCTACGCGAAGTAAGAAATATTAATACCCCCAAACATTCGTGTCTTTTTTTTTTGTGCTGATGTATGTACCTATAGCCTTCTAAGGCAGCGACTTGCTCGGCACGGTATGTCCAATCGATGGCATCTTCGCATTTGTTCAGCCACTTCTCCAGCTCCTTCCTGTTGTCTTCGACCAAGTCACTGAGCACAATGTCGTTGAATCGATTAGAGGACATGAAAGAATACCAGACCAACGGTCCGACGCCCACCTCCAGGAGAGTCTTGCCCTGAGCCAAATCTGTGGAAGGCACATGAGAGTTACTTTTTGCTCCAGCTTTCTTCTGAACACACCGATTTAACATTTCTTAAGAATTGTTTGAAAAATGCTCCCTCTATTTTGCGGTTATGATTCCTGAATCTTCATATTCATTCTCTTCTTCAGGACAGACACTGGACACTTCGCGCAATCCAAATTCATTTAAGAAAACAGGTTTCCGCTCCTATCGTTTTGACGAGAGCTATCGCTGACGTCACATGGGGAACTTTGGTTATTTTAAAGAATCTGCGTTTGAACGGAGCGTGAACGATCACAAAAAGATTATCTTGTTTCCGTCTGGAGTATTTCAGCTTTTATTTAGCGAACTAGCGAAAACGTTTTAATTACTCGTCTTTTTTAAAGCGCAGCTCTTAATCGCCCGTTTCCGGCCTGAGCGGCGTCACCATCGGCGTCGGCGTCGGCGTAACCGCGCGGTGCATTGTGAGAAACGTCCCATAATTTACCGCGCCGAAACGTCACGCGACATTTCGGCACGGTGACGTTTCCGCACCGTGCCGAAACGACACGGGTGAAGCTTCCGCATGTGATTTCCACCGATACGTCACGGTGCCGAAACGTCGCGAGTGACGTTCCGGCACGGTGAGGTTTCGGCACGTTGAAGTTTCCGCACGGTGCCGAAACGTCACGGGTGAAGCTTCCGCATGTGATTTCCACCGATACGTCACGGTGCCGAAACGTCGTGAGTGACGTTCCGGCACGGTGAGGTTTCGGCACGGTGAAGTTTCCGCACGGTGCCGAAACGTCGCGTGACTTCACCGAAACGTCATGTGACGTTTCGGCACCACGCCGAAACTTCGGGTGACGACACGCGTTTCGCGTGTGAAAGAGGGAGAAGAGGGTACTGATGAGAAGGGGTATACCACCCCTCAGTACCCTTCCCTCCTCCTCCCCAAGAGCTGCGCTCTAAATCGGCGTTACAGGGAGTTGTAAACGTCTGTCTTTTTGTTTTTTCTTTTGCCTTACAACGAATATTTTATTTATAGATTTAAAGGTAGACCGGGATGCGGTCTGAACCCTGTCATGAAATACTGATTTGAAAAAAAAAATAATCAGTAGGTGTTACGGGACGGGAAGTGTCACCCTTGCGCATGGCTTAGATTGGAGTCAAAGCCGGCAAAGTGCGATATGTGATGTATCCCTCCACCCTCTGGCGGCTGTGATAACGGCACCATTTTACCCTAAATTTCGGTTTGAAACCGTGTACATGGGCGACATTTCTCGTCAATTAGCATGCACTACAATATTTTCATCAAACTTTCACGGTATTGAGCTCCAGCGTCAATTCCACATACACATTATATCACTCAAAATTGAAAATAAAGAAAGAAGAAACATTTAACGGGTGAAATTTCTTGTGCCTATAATAAATATTTGGTCCAAAAAACATATATGATTAGATAAGATCATATAGGAGCATTAAGAACATTATAAAAAATAGGAATGATAAAATATTACATATGACGTTACAAAAAACTTGGGACCAGTTTCTTATAACTTCTTACATACTCTTAAATTATTCTCGTATATACTCATATGATGTTATTTAAACATCTGCGTTTATTGAACCAATAGCTTTCTTGGACCAATATAGGTATTGCAACAGGGTTTATTGAATTCGCCAAACAATTAACCAATTTTCCTCTTTTTATCGATCCCTATAGCCAACAACTTGTCTAGAGGGCTAAGAAACAGTAACTAGAAGTTCCCTTTCTACTTAATAATATATCGACTAGAAAACTCTATAAAAGGCGCAACACTAATGCGAAGAAGAGATGATTTGTTTTTGTTATTTTCTTTAAATATGAAGAGTGACGTAAACCTCCTGGCTTGCTGGTAGATTAGTGCTCACGGAGAGCACTAACCAAAAATCGATTATGCGTTTGAACTAACAATCTCGCGCAATGACCGCTCGACACTTTCCACGCGAACACGACATGGGCAATTTTATAGTGTGTATTTTACTTTGAAGGGATAACTGCGAGTCACGCATGCACACGTGACTGAAATAAAGTAACTGGAAACCGTTACTCGCTACTGCCTCAAAAAGTAACTAAATAAATTACTAATTGACGCGATTAAAACGGAACGCTTTACTTCAACTTGTGTGTAAAGTGGTATTTTCTCGCCACTTTGAATCTGTCATTTTTTATTAAGAAGTAGCTGTGTCCTCGTTAATAATTCCTTAATTTTAACACTTTCACTCGCGTGGCTAAAGCGACATACATGGTGGACATCTTTCTGCGGTCTATCTATCGTTCCCTTGCAATTCAAACTACAGGCGCGAGGTGGGTGGTAACGAGGTTGCCCTCCAGAAGTAACTAAATGCCGTTGCCTACTTGTTACGTCCTTAAAGGAAACAGAAGTGATTTACTCATTCCTTTCCTTAAAAGGCAACTAGGTCACTACTTCGTTAACAAAAAAGTAACTATGTACGAGTAACACGTTGGCCGTAATACGTTACGTAAGAGTCCGTTGCGATAGCCAGATTTCACCTCTTGCGCTTGAGTTCGAAATAAGAAGTTATAATCCTAGCAGTATTTTCGATGTTAGCCTTTAGAATCTAAAAGAAAGGTCACACACCATACGACGATTGTCCAGCATTCCAGATACCACTACCAAACGATCGTAATGCTTTTGCAGCTGGCTGTCATAATTACAAAGGTTTGTCGACTCAATTAACGATTGATCATGCGTCTGCTGAAAACTATCAACATTACATCCGTTTTTGCACGCTCCTTAACATGGTTACTCTACCTGTATTTAGCGTGTAGAACTCACGATGTTAAGCTCGTTATACAATGTTAAACAAAGTATAAACAGTGTGGTAAAAAAACTCGTTCGTTGAAAAACAACGTCTTCTTTACGGGATTAAAGGAATGTGAAAATGCTTGGTGCGTGTAGAACGTAACGCTTTGCACAAAGTTATCGCGCTATCAAGACCGTTCGCTTTGAAAGCATTACCAACATGGAGATGAGTTCTGTTTTAGCCTCATCCGTTACAGTCGTTTGACCTCAATGCTAAAATGTGCATGGGAATGGTGACATTACAGGGGCTAATAATTGGGATCAATGCGTAACGTTACCAAGGAATCATAAGTATTTATTAAAGAGTAACATTTTATTTTGGTATGTCGTACGAGTCTCACGGACGATAATACTATCCTCGGGAATATCACGTTGCTTCAATACAGTGAGTAGAAATTAAAATTTTGCGGATGAGATCTTTCAGGGGAATGCCAGGAGTTGTGCAGTTGGTCGGATAAAATCGAAGTATGGGACAGCACAGCCGACAACCACCCCTGCGTTACAAATCTTAGGCTTTCCTAAATCGAGGAGAGATCTCATGCTTATGCTTTGTACGAAATATATTTCAGCTCATATGCTCTAACCGCTCGGTTTTTGATTGATATGTTAACTCCGGAGACGCACATATATAACACAGGAAGCTCAGTCTTTAGAACGCTGAGCACAGCTTACCTGATTGAAAGATGCGGTGAAGTTCTTCTTGGTGAAAAATATTACCCGGCCCTTTCTTCCGGGCCGCATAAGACTTGCCTACGAAGGTTTTTTTGAAATGAGCAATAAGCTTTTGAGATTCCACGCTTCCCAACATGACCAAGCTTAAATTCCTGCAAGGTCGGATTTCTGTGGTAAAAAATGTAGGCTTGCGATGTAGTGTAGATAAATATATATTTTTTTACTGCTTCTTGATTATTGTTTTATTTCTCTCTAAACAGGGAAAGGATGGAGGTAAAAAAAAAAAAAAAAAAAAAAGCTGCCGTTTCAGTTTGACAAGGACCTTACCTCCCTGTACAGTACAGCTCGAAAGAGGACATCTGCAAATGCACATGCGGATGCAGTAAAAATGTGGGCTTGCGACGTAGATAGCTTTTTTTCTTTTACCCGCTTCTTGATATTTTTTATTTCTCTCCAAAGAGGGGGAGAAAGGCAGGTAGAGGAAAAAGCTGCCATTTCAGCTTGACAAGGACTCTACGATCCCTTTACAGTGCAGCGAAAAAGAGGACATCTGCAGATGCACATGCAGATGCGGTAAAAATTAGGGCTTCGGACGTATAGTCCGTTGCAACCTAAGAACGAAGGGCGAGGGTAAGACGGGCCGGGGAGGAGGAAGCAGACGGAACGCTAAAGAGAGAAGGAGGTTTCCACCTCTCTTCTCCGGCGTTCTGTCTGCTTCCTTTTCCCAGGCTCTTCTTACCCTCGCTCTTCGTTCTTAGGTTGCAACGGAGTATAGATAACTTTTTATTTTACTGCTTCTTGATATTTTTTTTTATTCCTCTCCAAAGAAGGGGAGGAAGGGAGGTAGAGAAAAAGCTGTCATTTCAGCTTGACAAGGCATCTACGTCCCTTTGCAGTACAGCCCAAAATAGGACATCTGCAAATGCACATGCACAACCAAACAAATTCATAATAAACACTTGTACCACGTTTAGCACGATTGAGAAAAGAATACTAGTTACATCAAAAATAATTTTTTTTTTTTCACATTTTGTTCCTCATTCATAAACGATATCTCTCTCCACCAGGAGTTCTTTAATATTCTTCTTGAAAATCGGAAAGGAACACTGAAAGTCTACCTTTTCTCTCAATTTTGTTCAACAAGGAGAACAATTAATAATCCAATTGTTGCTTGCCATAATTGGTTCTTACTTTAGGTTTTTTCCACATATTTTTTCTCGGTGTATGTTCCAAGCTAACATTCTTTGGGATCAGCTATAGCTTCACTTCTTGAATAAGCTGATGTAATTTGAAGTAATATATTTTATTGCTTGCCAGACCAATCACCCACTTCCCTTTCATCACGTGACCCAGCTCTTCGCGCGTGGGTAAAGCCGGGAGCGTGAGGACGTGACAAAGAGGCGCATGACTGGTCTAACAACGTACTGCAGCTGTCTGACGAAACTCTCGGAGGCCTGTGCGCACGCTGGCGATAACCCGCGGTGTTTAAAGCCAAACTTCCACAGCAAAGGCGTAGGACTTGCTCCACTACTTCGACGAGCTATAAGAAACGTATAAGAAAACTTACAAAGAAGATGCTAATAAGAAATCGTAAGTCTACGAGTGGTTTTCTCGCTGGTGAATTATTGATCGACGACCAACCTCGTTCAGGGCGACCCTCAACCTTCTGAACCGATGACAACATCGAAACACTGGGGCATTGTTCAGTCCGAGTTTGTTCCCCTTGGTGGATTTGTTATTCAGGTGTTTTACGTGGGAATTTGGCGACACTTCCGAAACTCGATAACGCAGAAATGCCCCGACGTGAGGCAGGCACATAGCCAGGATTTTGTTTCAGGGGGGCCCGCCCATGACAAGATGCTTTGTGAGGGGGAGGGGGTAGAGGAGTTCCCAGCAAAGTGAAAGATTTTGGGGGGGCCCGGGGCACCATGTCCCCCCCCCCCCCCCCTCACCCTGGCTACGTGCCTGACGCGAGGGAAAGGGGGAATTGCAGTCCCATCACGACAATGCCCCAGCACACTCTGCCCTGTCAGTGCAACAATTTTTGAGCAAAAATGGTATGACCACCACTTCTTCACCTCCCGCATTTTCAGAACCCCGCCCCGTGTGACTTGTTTTGTTCGCCCATATGAAAGAAGTCTTCAAAGGAAATTGTTTTAGGAATTCGAAAGGTCCTTTAAATCAGATATCGAAGAAAATCGATGAATGATTTTGAAGAGCTTGGGGAAAAAAATTCACATCTTTCCACAAGATCTTTCGCAGACGCTGCCGGTCGGCAAACTGACTCGGGAAGGGTGCAGCTAAGCGCTGCTAGAGGCTGAAAATGGTACCATGAACGCCCCGCTATTATTGTTGAAACTTTGGTTCTATGGCCCTGTATCTTGTTTGGTGTAAATCATATCCCTTTTTGTGTTATACATATTTTCAGATATTTTTTTTAGAATGGTGAAATAACCACAGGGTTGCATGATTTGATCATTTTATATATGCGTAAAACATAGATAACCATAGCATTATTTGTAGGGGGGGGGGTGGTAAATGTTTTTTTTTTTATGTAAGTTTAGTGCTTTGTTTCACATCTAAAGGTGCCAATAAGAAGGCTGCACGGTTTTTTTTTGGCTTCAGAAAGTGCAGTGTCATGCTAAGCCCGCTATGACGTCATTATCGCGACGGCTGCTGATTAGCTATAAAAGTGGTGGGAGCACGAAGCTCCGTGTTCTTGGTACGGTCACACTTGCAGAATAAACCACTTGACGCTAGTGGCTCTTCCTCTTGTTTCGTACTCCGCGGCTATCAAACTATAATTATTATAGTTTGATAGAGCAGTGCTGGAAAAAGACTCCTTTTCAGATTTCCATTTCAACTAGGATTCAGAAGTACCTACAAGGTTGTTTCTAAAGGTTTAATTATTTTTTAAAGCAAAATGTTTTAAATATAAAATTGTATATCAGGCTCTGAAAATAAAAGAATAGAAACCATGGCCACCTGAACACTGTCTCCATTAAAGCAACTTTATATACAAGTTTTTTTTTTTTTTCGGATTTGTTTAAAAAAGTCATGACAGCTACACTTATGCGGTTTGTGAGAGAGTGTTATACGGCCAGGGGGACACTCTGTGGGTAGCTAATCTTCGCGATAAGTCGTTCTATGAAGAGTTGATTTAGTGGTTCTCGATGGCCCTCATTAAGTTTAAAACAGGAACTATGTGTCTATTTTCACTAATTAAAAAGTTAACGTTTTTTAATTAATTTGTCGACTTATCACAAATATTAGCCACCTATGTAATGTCCACCAGGCCGTATAACTCACTCGCACAAACAGCATAAGTGTAACTTTCTAGGCTTTTTTTTAAATAAATCTGTAAATAATAAAAAGGACACCCTGTATATATATACAGTATAGTTTTGCTTGTCATGCCCTAATATTTTGAGCTTAACACACTTCTTATATGAAGTGTCCCCATGCTTGAAAAGTACCTACATTTTTTTTTTTTTCTCAACAGAAAACTGAAAGATCTAAATTAATTTGATAAGGGTGTATATGTTCTTCGAATGCAGTAAATAAAAATAAAAGAAAAACTCACCTATGCTAGTTTTGTTTTGTCTAATTTGCACCCCAAACCTTTTATTTTTTATTTTTACATAAGTGTTTATATTGAATTTAGAGGCTTTTAAAGCCTCTAAATTCAAAGCCTCTAAGTGACCGATGAGTCGAGCGACTCATCGGTCACTCGACCACCACGGAAAAGTGTGCAGCTAGCGTTTGCCCGCTACAATTAAGTTGCCTATTCTCAAGCACTGAATTTAAAATTGAGCAACACAAGACTACGAATTATGTTACTTTAGACAATTACTGACTACGAATGCAGAGGTTACAAGCGTGGAACGAGCATGGGGCAACATGGCTTAGCAAGCTCATCGCTGCGTGAATCTCAAACCGAAACTGATCGCGAACGTGCCGTGCGCTGTTACTTTAGCCGATTACTTTCATATTATGTTGCCCTTCGAAGCGCTAGATTAAGAGAGGTACATAGCCTGCCAATTTAAACACACATAGCACTTGTATACTAATAACACTGGCAAATATTCTTTGTACTCATCTAGTAAACAGTGGCGCTCACCTACCTAATCGTTGTCAGAAATTGGTAGGGCACATATACGAATCGGGTCGTTAGAGTAGGGAGTTGCGGAGGTGTTGTGTTGGTGTTCTTTGTGCCTTGTACTGCTGACATGATTGTAGATATGTATGTGCCTGTAACAGTGTTCGCTACGTTGGTTGGTAATGTGCAGGTGTATATGCAGGTGTATGACTGGTTGTCCCGTAGAATGTAGAATAAAGAGAAGACGTTTCTTTTCTGTTTTTTATCATCAATCGGTTACTACTACTACACTTTCAAGGTAGCGCAAGCTGCCGCCTGATTCAAGAAGTTAAGTGTTGAGCGGTCAAGTATATCTTGATTTACAAACAGCTGACCGCTGACCTGCGGTCCCCTACGGCCGCCGCCGGGCCTCCCTCCCTACCTCTCAGTCCGATAACAATCGTGATAATTGTACCACCTAGCCACCTAAATGCTCGTTCTGTGACCAAGGGCTACGAAGTGCCGGCATACACGCCCACGAATGGATAACCGCGTCGGAAGAGGTAGGCACGAACAAAAAGAGCCGTAGCGTTAGTTCGAGCTGAACGCCTCTCGTCGGTGTCGACGAAGGTGCCCAGCGATTCATCGCCGCACACGAAATAAAGTTCGCATGCCCATTACTCGAGTAACGATTTCATTTTTGAGCCTTCTCCGCTGGCGGTAAAAATACTGTCAATATAACGAGATGCCGTCGGGGGCAATCACGACGATTTCGGGACACACACTGCCGTCCTTACAGGATATAAGTACGTCACCGGTGTCTGGGGACGGATGTTTAGAGTGTCTGATGGTGCCTGGAAGACGTCGAATATGTGTATGCGCTCTATTCTCTAAAACCCGTGCTGTTCGCTAGGTCTTGCCGGGAAATTCTAGCTTCGCTAACAGGCCGCCAATTTGCTTTAGGCGGTAGTCAGATTTGACTCTCTGCTTTTTGACTGCGTTTGGGGCCGTCACATTTACCGTAGGGGTCGTTATATTTGGGACAACTTTTACCACCC